AAGATCACAAATCGTATCTAGTCGAAGACATTACCCTCAAAAATTGAAAAAATTTCGTAAATGGGGGAAACCTCCAAAAAAATTACACATTTAAAAATAGCTTATTTTCGAAATTTGTTAATAATTAATTTAATTCCTTTATGTCTTTGAACCCTTGAACAGAATAATAGATCTTTATTTATTTGTAGTAAATCACTGTGAATATCCAACACCCCAAATATAATAAGCCATTAAGATATAGACATATTAATTACAAAATCTAAACTTTTATTTATTTTTATATTTATATTTTAACCACTACACTATATTTTTATCATAAAGCATAGTTAAGAATATTTTTATGTTGCACATCTCTCTCAGCTATACATAAATATTATATTAATTTAAAAAGTAATATTATATAAATGTTAATTGACTAATCATCATTTATTCAATATATTCCCATTTTATGATAAAAATATTTTATAAATAGTGATAAAAATCTTATATTTGTGCACACATTTCCGATACTGTCTGTAAAAATTACACTACTGAAATGTAAAAAAATTATATAAATATATTAAAAAAATTACACTGATGTATGGGAATTTTCGAATCATTCCTCACAGTGTGATATTTCCTATAGTTCATAAAAATAAATAAAATTTTAATCTGTATATTTTTAAAATAATGAAAAAGTATTAAAAGTATATTTAAATGAAAAAATAAAAAAATGATTATTTAACAAAAGAATTTTATACATATAATAATTTATTCATTTATTATACGTTTTTAAATTAATTTTAGATTTTTAGCTTCAATGCGAAGCTGAGAAGGTATTAATTTTACAATGATGTGTTTTTTTTTTTTTTTTTTTTATGTCTGTTGCCACTTTTTCACAGCTCTCACCGAACCGATTTCTTTCAATAATACGTCAAAAGATCACAAATCGTATCTAGTTAAAGACATTACCCTTAAAAATTGAAAAATTTTCCCTCGTTCCCCGCAAATGAGGGAAATATCCAAAAAAATTACAAATTTAAAAATCGGTAAATTTTGTAATTTTTCTCACTTTTTTTTTCTTATAACTTCCATAACTTTTTCAAAAATAAACAAATCAACATAATTTTTTTTATACTAAAACCTTAGATATTTCCCTTTCATTTGATATCATTTTTTTGAAAATCTAACACTTAACCTGCTCATTGGGGGGGATTTAAAATAGCAACTTTTTTACAAAAACTAACTTTTTCAACTTAATTTTTGAAAATGTTCCGGAAATACTGCGTCCTTTAAACATATCAAATTAAAGTTTATTTTATGTACTATATAATGAAAAAAAAATTTGTCCCGACGACTTATCATCTATGCGCAAATGGCTACTGTAATAAAAATATGCTATTTTTCTATTAAAATTCTAGGTTTTGTATTTTATTTTACTTTAAAATATCTTATTAGGAGAATATATTGACTTTCATGAATATTATATAATTTAATTGACTTAGAATAAAGTTCATAAGACATAAGAAATGAAACTTATTAAATTTTTTTTACTTTTTTATTTTCATACTAAATTTAATAATTATAATTAGTGTTTATTCATATATTATATTTTAAAATCAATGAACTACTAATTAGGATATAATCAAAGAAATAAGAGTTGATGTTGCTTTTGGAATAATCCACCAATTTCTCTAAATGAAACATTATCTACAGATTTGCATCGAAGCGTTTCTTATGATAGTGATTTTAATCACTATCATATATCATCTATACTTGTCCCAGCTATGCCTTGTCTACACAGTGGCTCGACCCCACTGTGCTACCGTTTTTTTTTATATTTTAATATGTATATTTTTATGAAAAAATTATTTATTTAAATATAGAATTGCAAGTAGTATTCAACGTATATACTTACATTGATTAGCCGACGGAGCTTCGGTCACTGATGGAACAGAAGCTAAGTTTACACATAAAATAATTTATACATTTATTATACGTTTTTAAATTAATTTTAGGTATTTTTTTTATTATAATATGTATGTTTTTATGAAAAACTCATTATTCAACAAAAGAATTGCGAGTAGTATTCAACGTATATACTTACATTGATTAGACGACGAAGCTTCGGTCACTGATGAAACAGAAGCTAGGTTTACACATAAAATAATTTATACATTTATTATACGTTTTAGGATTAATTTTTTTTATTTATTGAAAATATATATATATATATATATTTATCCAATCTATATTATATGTAATTTTAGTTTTGATATAAAGCTGAGAATGTATTGGTTTTATCATGTTTTTTTTTTTGACTGTTACCACTTTTTCTTAGCTTTCATCATATCAATTTCTTTCAATGATACGTCAAAAGATTACAAATCGTATATTCTTATATACGATGGTTGCCATTTTCACCGTGAAGATAAAATAAAGTCCGAAATTTTTTTTTCGCATAATTAAGTACATTACATTAGCTTTAATTTAAAATATATATAAAAGTGTCAGACTTTCCGGAACACTTTCAAAATTTAAGTTGAAAAAGTTCTACTTTCTACATGAATTTTTTAGATTTGAACCCCCCTCTTATATAGGGAAATGGTCCAATTTAAAAAAACAGTATGTCGAATGAAAGATCTATATAAATACTACTTCTCATAAAAAAATTGTAATGATCCATACATTTTTCAAAAAGTTATAGCATAATAAAGTTAAAAATGTAAAATACAAAATCGAAAATTTTCACACAAAAATAGCATTCGGTAGCCATTTTCACCATGAAGATAAGATAAAGTCCGAAATTTTTTTTTTTCATGATAAAGCATATTACATTAGCTTTAATTTAAGATATATATAAAAGTGTCAGACCTTCCGGAACACTTTCAAAAGTTACGTTGAAAAAGTTCTACTTTCTATATGCATTTTTATGTTTTGAATCCCCCCTGTATTTAGGGAAATGGTCCGATTTAAAAAAACAGTATGTCGAATGAAAGATCTATATAAATACTACTTCTCATAAAAAAATTGTAATGATCCATACATTTTTCAAAAAGTTATAGCATAATAAAGTTAAAAATGTAAAATACAAAATCGAAAATTTTCACACAAAAATAGCATTCAGTAGCCATTTTCACCCTGAAGATAAAATAAAGTCCAAAATTTTTTTTTTTCACAATAAAGTATATTACATTAGCTTTAGTTTAAGATATATATAAAAGTGTCAGACCTTCCGGAACA